GGACTCCAGATACCGTGTGTGCCATCCTCAAAGCCTGAATTTCTCCACCAGTGGCATATATGAAACTTTCAACTTGGAGTTTGAGGACTTCATTGTTTCACTTATTGACGGAATAAGCAAAACGGCAAATTTGCAAACGAAAAATAATTTATAAATAATTTTTTTATGTACGTGTTCTCAGCGATCTAAAAGCAAATGCTGAAAAACAAACTACGATGATAAAACCCTAAAATCAACTCCAAATTTAAGGTTAAAAATTTAAATTTTAGCTTATAAACATAAGCATAAGCCAAAAGATGAGGCTGTGAATTACTCGGGGCTAGGAGGATGTACAGAGGAGCAGCAAAAGCTTGTTAAATGCTCGAGCTTGGCAAGGGGATCCGCTATCACCAATTTTTTTTAACATAGTAGCTGATATGCTTGCTTTGTTAATTAAGAGAGCTAAAGAGGTAGGTCTCTTAAAAGGGGTTATTCCTCATCTAGTGGATGATGGTTTGTCTATATTGCAATATGCAGATGATACCATTATCTTTCTGGAACATGATTTGCAGCAGGCAAAGAATCTTAAATTAATTTTAACTGTTTTTGAAAAGCTATCTAGCTTAAAAATAAATTTTCACAAAAGTGAATTATTTTGTTTTGGTCAGGCAAAGGAGTGTTATGATCAATATTCCAATATCTTATATTCCAATATCTTTGGTTGTAAGTTAGGTTCTTTTCCTGTTAAATATTTAGGAATTCCAATGCATTTTAGGAAACCATCTAATAAAGATTGGAAAGTGATTGAAGAAAGAATTGAGAAAAAGCTTAGTAGTTGGAAAGGTAAACATTTATCTGTCGGGGGAAGGTTGGTCTTGATTAATTCTGTACTTTCAAGTTTAGCTATGTTTATGATATCTTTCTTTGAGATACCGAAAGGGGTTCTTCAAAAGATTAATTATTATAGATCACGGTTCTTTTGGCAAGGTGATGATCATAAGAAAAATTACAGACTCACTAGATGGGATATTATTTACCAACCTAAGGATCAGGGAGGCCTTGGGATTTATAATTTGGAATTACAAAATAAATGTCTTTTGAGTAAGTGGTTGTATAAGCTAATAAATGAGGAAGAGGTTTGGCAGAACTTATTGAAAATGAAATATCTTTATAACAAGTCTATAACCCAAGTGGACAAGAAACAAGGTGATTCTCATTTTTGATCAAGGCTTATGAAAGTCAAAAGTATTTTTTTTAGATATGGGCTCTTGGATTGTGAATGATGGGGAACAAATAAGATTTTGGGAAGATAAATGGCTAGGTAACTTAGCTTTCAAGGATAAATTTCCATCTTTATATGCTATAGTCCGAAGGAAATCATCCACTATTGCTACTGTTATGGGATCTGTTCTGCTTAATGTTTCTTTTAGAAGAGCTTTAGTTGGTCAGAATCTTGTATACTGGCATAAATTGTGTGTTTCTATCGTACATATTCAATTAAATCCTTCTTTTGACTGTTTTAGATGAAATTATCATCAGAATGGTAGGTTCTCAGTAAGGTCAATGTATCTAGCTTTAATTAACAATGGTTATGTTGAGAGGAACAAATATATATGAAAACTTAAGATGCCACTTAAGATTAAGATCTTTACGTGGTACTTGCTTAAGGGAGTTGTGTTGACCAAGGATAATTTGGCGAGACGGAATTGGAATGGTAGCTTAAGGTGTTGCTTTTGTATGAAAAATGAAACTATTCAACATCTCTTCATGGATTGTCATTATGCAAAATTCATATGGAGAGCAGTTCAGTTTTCTTTTGGTTTTAATCTTCCAACTAGTATATCTCATATATTTGATGGGTGGCTTTTGGGGTGGACAAGAAAAAGAGTAAACTAATACTGGTTAGAGCTTCTGCCATTTGTTGGGCTCTATGGTTGAGTAGAAATGATTTGGTTTTTAATAAATCACCATCTATTTCATATATGCAGGTAATTTTCAGGGCAACGCACTGGCTCCGGTTTTGGGCACAGCTACAAAGGTGTGAGGATGATGGGGAGTTCCTAAAGGTTGCATGCCGCAAGTTGGAGTCGATGGTTATGCAATTATTTGCCAATTATGGATGGAGGTTCACAAATAGACTTCAATAAATGTGTTCTCCTTATTTTGGCTTGGTTTCCTCTGTTTTTGTTTGCTGTGTCCTATTTAACTGAACTACGCTCTTTTCTGGATTGCTACAATATAATAATTGACTGTAGCTCTTTTTGAGTAAAGGCTGGGATGTTAAATTCCATTATCTAAAAAAAATGCTCGAGCTCGAGGAAGGAATCGATCGAGTGGATGGACAAAGCTGAAGAGACAGGTGACTGGATTGAGTAAGAAAGGGGCAATTGGGGATGCCATGGGCTGTGCGTGGACCTCATTGGCCGAAAATGTGCACCACCGGCCAATTACATAAGGAAAAAGTACACGGAAGGTCCCTCAACTTGTCATCGAGATACAAAATCGTCCCCAACCACAAACCAGATATGTGACATCCCTCAACTTACAAAACCATTCACTTTAGGTCCTTCGGTGGTTTTGACCTCGGTTTTGTCCGACGTGGCGGCTGAGTCAACGTAGGACCCGCGTGGGCCCCACATGTCAGACTGTCCACGTTAGCTCTCTTTTTCCCTCTTCTCTCCCTTCCTCCTCTCTCTCTCTCTCACTCTTCTCTCTCTCTCTTCTCTTTGGGCATGGTGTGCGACAGGTGGGGAGGAGACCGACCGAAAAAGAGGTCTAGCGGCCGGCGACGCGGCGGCAGCGGCAACCGAAGGTCCTTCTCACGGGAGCGCCGCCGGCCGAGTCTCGGCCGTGCCGCTCGCCCTCATCGGCCGCGTCCCGGCCATGTCGCTCGCCCTCGCCGGCCGAGTCCACGCGGGTCTCCTCCCTACGCGCCGACGTACACGAGGTCCACGATGACGTGCCGAGCACGAGCTAGAGCTCTGTGACAGCCGCCGCCTCCGCCAGCGCGGCGGCAAGAGCGCCGAAGAAGTCGCGGTCGACGTAAGACGGGCTGACGATGAGCACGTCGATGTCGGAGCCGCGGCCGTGGATGCCAAGGCAGTAGGAGCCGAAGGGGAGCACCGGGCCACCGTCTCCTCGGCGCTCTCGTACAGGCCCTCCTCGCGGAAGAGGCTCTCCAGTCGCGTCATGCTCTCCAGGTCCACCGGCGTCGAGCGCCTCTCTCTCCTCGCCCCACCAGCCGCCTCGCCCTGTCGGCCTCCTCCCCACTCACCGGTCGCGCCTCCGCCTCCGCCTCCCCCTCCCCCTACCTCGTCGGCAACGACGATGACAACCGCATCGATGCGAGCACCTCTTTCCGCGTCGCCACCACTATGTCGCGCGTCGTCGGGCGCCTCTCTCGCCTCGCCCCACCGGCCACCTCGCCCTATCGGCCTCCTCCCCAATCGTCGACCACGCCTCCGCCTCTCCCCCCCCCCTTGCCAGTGACGACGATGACGACCGCATCGACTCGAGCACCCCTTTCCATGTCGCCACAGATGTGTCGCCCATCGTCAGGCGCCCTCTTGTCTCGCCCCACCAGCCGCCTCACCCTGTCGGCTTCCTCCCCTCCCGTCGGCCAGCCCGCACAGAGGATAAAGGTGAGAGAGAGAGAGAGGAAAGGAGAGAAGAGGGGAAAGTGAGAGGAAGGGAGATGATGCTGTTAGCCTGACATGTGGGGCCCACGTGGGTCCCACGCTGACTCAGCCACCACGTCAGACAAGACCGGGGTCAGCGACGGCGCACGGGGGAGGAGCTTGCCAACCGGCTGACCGCACAAGGAAGAGCTCGTCGGCCGGCCGCAGCGCGCACTGGGAGGAGCTCGTCAACTAGCCGCACGTGGGGAGCTCGTCGGCCGACTGCGCGCGAGAGGAGGAGCTCGTTGGCCGGCCGCGGTGCGCATGGGGAGGAGCTTGCTAACCAACCACACATGGGGAGGAGCTCTTCGGACGACTGCGCGCGATGGAAGGAGCTCATCAGCCGGCCGCGCAGGGAGGAGCTCGTCGGTCGACCACGACACATGCGGAGAAGATAGTCGGCCGGCTGCACACGGGGAGAGAAGCTCGTCGGTCTGCCGCACGCGGGGAGGAGCTCAACGGCCGACCACGTGCGGGGAGGAGCTCATCGACCAGTTGTGGTGCAAGTGCGGAAAAGGAAGCTCCTAGCTGGCGGAGGAGTTATACGGGCCTGCGGCGACGGTGGACATCGAGGTGGTGGTGCTGTGATGACACCGCCTGGCACTGTCCCTCTCCTCCCCTCTTCCTAGCTTGACTCAATGTCGTCGCCTCCCCTTCCCTCTCCTCCCCTCATAATAACTCGAGCAGGCCGCCGAATCTAGCCGTGTGAGCGTGTGTGAGGCCTTGACGACGGCAAAAAAGACAAGGGTCGGCATGGTGGTGGTCGGCACCCTCGTCGATCTCCTCCGTCGTCATATGGTGAAGCACCCCGACGGTCGTCGTTCTCCTCCACGCGTCCCTTCCGTCGTCCCTCCCCGCCTTAGCCTCGGTCCCCGATGGCAGCACCGAAGCTAGAGGTGATAAGAACGGCGTCGCCGCCAATGTTGTCGAGGCAAGAGCACACTCCCCCAGTTTACTTGCACGAACGCCGACAACCTTCTCCAGCTGGACTAGACGGCTCGCTCATCCCATCGCGCGGAAACAAGGCGAGGCCGAGGCCGGCGTGGCGGTCGTCCAATCCCCCCACAGTGAGTAGCGAGAGCACACCGAGCGCAATGAGGAGGAGCAGCGTCACCCGTATTCCATCCCCTCGTGGTGGAGCTGATAAGTAGGCCCCACCTTTTCATTTTTTTTATCCTTGTCACTGAAATGTGGGTCCCATAAGCTGATTCAGCCTATCAACAGGGTCAACGATACCACGTCGGATGAAACCGCCCGAGGAGTTGATTTGCAACGGTTTTGAGAGTTAGGGGACGTTATACCCGGTTTTGCGGTTAAGGGATGCAATTCAACGAGGGTCATGAGTTGAGGGATGAAAAATAGACTTATTACATTATAACTCAACAAAATAAGCACTTTGACCATTACGAGCCATAATGGAAGCAATAGACCCATTACAGCCTAAAATGTGAATCAGATCCCATCTGAACAACTGAAGCAGTTGGGCCAATACGTGAAGCGATTTTGGCCCAATAATCGAGGCAATACTGCCCTTTAAGGCCTCCTCAAATGTTACTATATAGGCACTAAAATACAAAGCATGAAAAATGAAAAACCACAAAAAGCATGTTAAAGTGGACTTGGGAAAAAAATACCTGTGCCATATTGGTAGAAATTGTTACGATGTATGTCACTTTGTAGAACTCTCTCCATACCATCTGTTTTTGTGACCTAGGTGGTTATCTGCCTTCACTCCAAAACAACCTTGGATAACTGTTTGCTGCTAGAAAATTTCAAAATTAGCCATTTTGTGTGTCTAGCTCCATAAAATGTTACTTCGACAATAATCTGCATTTTGGCTCTCAAAAGCCCCATCAAATGAAGTTAATCAACCTTTTGAACAGTATGTGGTCTAGTCTGTTATGCAAATGTTTCGACGAATACTTAGTTTGATCATGTGTAAATGTGCTGGGGTACAAATAGTTGCAGAGACTTGCCTTAGGACTTCAACTTCACCCTATATGATGCATGTGCTTGTTTAATGATACACAACCATCATGTGATTGAAATTTTCAAAAGCAAATTCGTCATCTAAATGGTCCTAATCTGCACCAATAAGCACTTCAGATATTTCCACTCCAGTTCAAAATGATTGAGTGTGAAGGTTATCAACATATACATACAAGTATTAGCAGTTAGGGAAAATAAAATGAAAGCATGCATACTCCATCTGTCCTCAAATACCTATCACAGGGTACTGTTCATCTTTAAACTTTGACAGCTCTTCTTATTGGAAGAAAATGTATAAATACTTAAGAGCATTCTATATTATAGACGTGTGATGTATCCTAAATATAATCATGAAACTTCCATCCATCATTATAAAACCATTCAAAACTTACTGATAATCAAAGCTAAAATTATACTGGTTAACAGTGACAGCTATTTGAGACGGGAGGGAGTATTTGTTAAAAGTATGAATTCGCTGCAGATCTCCAAAGCTCCTATGTAGTAGGTACTCAAAGATTTGATCAAGGCATTATATATCCATCAACTAACTCCTGCTTAACATAAACACAGAGAAATGCAGCTAAGCAAATGAAGTAACAGAAAATCAGCATTCTAGGCGAACAATGGTGCAATGCATTTTTTTGGTAATATATACAGTATAATTGTACACATATGTCCGTTCTACTGACTAATTATAAACATAATTCAGGAAAAAAAATAAACAAAAATATATAGAGAGCCTAAGTAATTACGGGCAGTTTTATTTCTTAAGTCTAATACTCCTGTATGTCAGAATTAACACTATAACAGTGCTGAAATCAGTTATAAAGATAAGCAAGTGACAACCCATCACACATCGGTTATGTGATAACTTGCATGCTGCATTGGTTTTACACTTTTACTAATGAACATGTATACACTTTAAAGAATAAAACAAGGGTTCTAACCATTAGAAGTAAACAATATTTCATTATTACTAACATCAACGAGAATGACATGTAAGCAGCCAAATAGTGTAACATCGCAGATTAATTATGAAAATAGTCCAGTCCCTCCATACAGCGAAAAGGGACCGAGTTACTACACTGAATTTTTCAGTATAAATTTCGTTTACAACATGTAAATAAGTAGGTCTATTGGAATCACAGAACACAGCTACATACAACGAACGAGTGGAAGAAACATAGGACAGCACCAAAGCATCATAAGCTCTAAAATCATTTAAGCCATAGTCTTGTGAAAACCTATGAGGTGACAGATAGTACGTCATCCATCTCCACACAACAGAAACTAAGAGGGATAAATGCACCCGATGGCATAACTTTGGTGCCCCAAAACAAAACAAAACTGTGACATCCCGGCCCAGGGCTTAATACAATTAATAGAATGCTCATATCAACAAGTTGCAACTTTTTTTCCAGAAGCCGATCTCTAAAGAACTCTGAGGTTAAGCGTGTTTGGCCTGGGGCAATTTAGGGATTGGTGACCGATCGGGAAATTCTTCCCGAGTGCACACGGGTGAGACAAAAACAGTCACCAAAACACCTACATATGCCTGGTGGTTCAAGTTGAATAGCCGCTAGTTCTCAGAAATACAACCGCCTCATCAAATCAAAAGTAGTTTAGGGCTTTGAAATCAACATTACGGCCAATAATTAACCGTGCACTGCGAGCAGCCTGAAATGAACTAGAGGTACTCAAAAACTAAAACTAGAGAAATCACCCCAGGACAGCTACGAATTACAGCACAACAAGCAACGCAGTTCAAACTACATGAAACAACAACAAGAGCCCAGAGCCCTAATTGCAAACCACACAGAACGTGCGTAACCAAATCGACAAGGGAGCCACAAACACAGATCAAAAGCATAGGGTTCCCCACTTCAGCTTTGTTGGAGAATCGACGACAAGGTCAATCACAATCAAACAGAAGAACCGAGGACGCACGATTAGGATTTTGGCCCCGCTGAACGAACCGACCAATCAACCATTCAAAACCCTAGAGAAGGGGAGGGGAGGGGATCGATCGGGGGCCCGTGCCGTTCGGGAGAGGAGGGAGGCGGAAACGAAGCGAACCTGCTCGGCGAGGCGGAGCCATCTCCGGCGAGCGCAGCAGGAGACGCCATCCCATCCCATCCCGTCCCTAGCCCATCTCCGAGAACGGGATAGGGCGGAGAAGAAGAGCCGCCGCCGCCGCCGCAGCCCCCGTCGTCGCCGCCGCCGGCGCGTATCAAATTTGGGGGATTTGTTTCCGTTGGGCGTTGGCCATGGAGAATTTTGAGACGAACGCCACGCGGGCCGTTTGGATCGGTGCTGCCTCCTTGCATTTTGTGGGCCGCGTGTGTGGAAGCACGTGACCCATCAAAGCCCATACATGAAGGCACGTGGGCCGTCACGAACTCTTGAGGGGGAGACCGAGAGATGGGCAGGGGTCAATTCTCGGGACATTTGATGTTAAATCCATCTTAACTCCCTCAACTATTGGCTAAGGCCCCGTCTAAAAAAACTATTGGCTAAGGCTCCCATAGTTTGGCTTTTAAGAAGCAAAAGCTGTGCGGCTTATTAACAACTAAAGACTTATTTTATACATAAAACTTTTATATATCTCTTCATAGCGATTAAAAAACAGAGGCTGCAAAATAAACTATGATGAAAAAAAATATCACAAAATCAACTACAAAATTAAGTTTTGGCTTATAAGCGGCAGATAGAAGCGAAATGTTGGAAGCGTAAATCTGGTTCATACCTTTTTAAGGCCCTTTTTTTCTATTAAGATTTTACATCAGTTTTCGTTAACATGCTTTTCAAATTGTTAAAATATTTTGTGCGAAAACTTTCTATATAGAAGTTGCTTAAAAATATCAGATAAATCTATTTTTTAGTTTGAAATAATTAAAACTTAATTAATCATACACTAATAGCTTTCTCGTTTTGTGTGCATATAATTAATCTTCATCTTCAATGAACTCGAATAGGGCCTAGCTACAAAATCAAGTATATCATCTTCATGAAATATTAAAGCCATTGACAACATGTCAATGTCCCCCCCCCCCCCTCTCTCATCCTTCGTTCGTCTATCTCTCCTTTTTCCCTCTTTCTCCCCCACACCCTCTCACCATCGATTGAGGAGGTGAGCGCTCACCGTCGACATCCTCTCCAACCAACGAGCTCTGCGTGTGCCGAACTACGAGGCACTGCCGCTTGGGAGGCCCCATCCTCGTCATCGCTCCCCGATCTGCCTTAGTTGCACCCGGATCTGCATCGTCGCCGTCCTGGGCTACCTTCACGGCAACATGCCCACTTTCCTAGGCCTCTACTTTCTCATGGCCACTCGAGCAATAGCCCTAACACCCTCACCTCTTCCTCTAATATATAAGGTAGGCGCAGCCTTGGACTCTGCCTTCGACTTAAGCACCCTGCCTCCGACCCTCCCGACGTTGTTGTGCCTAGTGCTAGCGATTGTGGAACCTTTCCTAAGCTCTCTACACTCTATTGGTTGTGCCCGGACTTCCTTGTCTTGATAGTTGCCCAATGCCCTTTCCCCAAAACGTTGCTGTCACAATGTTTGCCTTTGGCTTGTGCTTTCACCGCTTCTTCCTCAACTTCCGCACTCAACTACCAACCACCACACGTATGGTATTGCCTAGCTGACCACTGGCTACGTCGGCTTCCTTGGTCGAGTGGACAAACCGCAATTCAACACATAGAGACAAGTGAAGAGAAGAGGGGGAGGGAGAAAATAAGAGGGTATAGAGAGAGGATGACATGTGGGTTACACTGTTTTTCTTTTCTTTTTCTGAGAGACTTACATGTTGTTTTATCTTTTTTTTTCTGACCATGATGCCGCATGAACACCACAAAGGAGCTACGTCGGATGAGGATTGGATAAGAGTGCCATTTCAGGTGAGACCGCTTTGCAAAAATACCAAGGAAGTCAATCTGCACTGGTTTTGAGAATTAGGGGTCCCTATATCTCTTTTTAGGTTGATGAATGGTCATTTTCTGCTATAAATTACTTCACCTTGTGTTATGGTATCTTAACTCTATATTCTGTTTGGTGAATATTGCCTTAATTTGCTTTCACTTCCATCCTCACTAGAGAATTTGTTGCCATTTACTCTTTTAAAAAGAAAGAATTTGTGTGACATTTCTGTATATAACCTCATGGAACATTTAAATGTGTTATTTTAGAGAATTCAAACTATCCATACGCGAGATTCAGCTAGAATAGCCCAGTAATTTCGTGGACGCTAGTGCGCTACTAGTACAGTACTAAGGGCATCCACAATGGTTATCTATATGCTCTCTACAAGAGATTCATGTCAGCATATTTTCCTATATGGAAGATATTAAATGGAGAGAGAGAGCAAAACTATCTATTAACTTAGAGATAGTCTATAGAGAAAAACGAGGCAATGCATAAGAGAGCTATAGATACCCATGTAGACATACTATTGAGGTGGTTTACTATTAATCTAGTATATTGCTGAGATGTACATGTTTTATAGAGAGCACCTTACTTTACCATTGCGGGTGCTCTAATCAAAACAAAAAGTAAACTCCACGGGTTTACTTTGCATTTCAACGGTACGGTTCGGGATCTTCCCCGTTGAAATCACCGAGAGCTCACACCTCCGTTCCGTTGTCCCTGAAAGACCGGGCTGTATCATTGACGAGCTTGCAAAACGAGGTTCTCTCTTCTCCGTCTCTGTAGCAACTATAGAGCGAGTTGTTGTCCTTGTCCGTCAAGAGGGACCCTCCCTCTATGGTGCACTGTGCCTTGTGGGCCCCATATAACACATTTCAGGGTGGATAAAAGTGTACTGTAAAAATTTTACTCCACCTTGGTTCAGTCATCAGTACATTACCGATTCTTTTATACTTATTAGATAAAATTTAAATTTTCAACTTTAAATTTAAAGTTAATTTTGGAGTTTAATTATCGTTGTTTACTTTTCAGCGTTTGTTTTTAGATCGTTAAAAACACATATATATATAAAAGTTTTATTTACAAATTATTTTTTATTTGCAAATATGTCGTTTTGCTTTTTCCTCCCAACAGCCAAATGATGGGGCTGTACATACCCCCATCATTCAAAGATTCAAAAGAAGTTTCTGGATATTAGTATATTACTACTGCCCTAATGTTTCAACAAATGACCAAAGTTGGAAGTTTGGATTAAAATTGATACGATATGACAGAAAAGTTTGTGTGTGTATAACGTGTTAATGTGATGAAAAAAACTGAAAATTTGATCTAAACACAGCCAAAACAAATCAAAAACTGGTGTGGGAGGGAGGAGAGGAGACAAAAGGCCCGGCCTCCGTCTTGTGAGGCGAGCCACCCCCGGTGGTGCGCTGCCCCACCCTTCTCTTCTGGCCGCTACCGCTCCGCTGTCGCGTTACCACGCCGCGCTTCCCGATGCACGCCCACCAAACCGTGCAACGCAAACGCATCAGCACAAAACACACGCACACCACTGTCAGCGACCCGGGTTTCGCAACAGCAGCAGCTTCCAAACCTAATTTTAATACACTCCCTAATCCTCGTGGCGTGTCAAAATGCTACTTCCATTATAATATGTTTTTTATTTTAATCAAAATTAAATTGCTTCAAATTTAACTAAGAGCAAGTTTAATAGTGTAGCCAACTATCAGCTCCAATTCATCTATAACCAATCTAATAGCTCATTCATACAGTAGTTACATACTACACTATTAATTCATCCCACTTGTCATACACACACTGTGTTTTAGAGTTCGTGCTACAGCTGACTACAAATCTATAGCCCGCTACCCTTCTCTCTCCTTATTTATCTCTTTAAAATATATTTACAGCTGGCTTATAGCCTACTATTGTACATGCTCTAAATTTATAGATAAATATAACACTACTAGCAATACAGATCTGAAGCGCTCTCTCTCCCCCTTCCTTCCAGGTGCAAATTTCAAAATTTGCAGAAAAGATTACTGTAGTGCTAGTAGTATACGGTGGTGTTTGGATCAGGACTTAACTTTAGTTCATGTATTTAGACACTAATTTAGAGTATTAAATATATACTACTTATAAAACTAATTACATAAATAAAAACTAATTCGCGAGACAATTTTTTTAAACCTAATTAATCCATAATTAGAGAATGTTTACTGTAGCATCACATAAGCTAATTATGGATTAATTAGGCTCAAAATATTCATCTCGTGAATTAGTCCAAGATTATGGATGGGTTTTATTAATAGTCTACGTTTAATATTTATAATTAGTGTCCAAACATCCGATGTGATAGGGACTTTAAGTCCGTCTATACAGGGCCGGCATGTGCGTTTCTGCATTTGAACCGGGGGAGTGCTGGCTGACACGATGGGCCCACCGCACAGTGTCTGACTCACTCGCGGCAGCTAATCGGTTGATTAATCATGGGGATCAACTATTAACCCTTGAGATTTCCCACATGCAAACACGCTTAATTACTTTAGCAAAAGTCGCACCCCCCCCTCTTCGAATCCACCAGTCCACCTCATCTCCAGCGCTATTCCTCGTGCGCCACAGCATTCAAATCCCCATACCCAAAATACCCCTCACAGCTCCCAGGAATCACCACGGAGTCCACATGTGCCAACTACCCCTCCGTGGGTATTTCCGTCATTTCGCGCCTAAATCTCACTCCCCTAAACCCAGCTCACTCCCTACTCTGCCTCTCGTTGTTGTCTTCTTCTTCTTGCCTTCTCCGCAGCCATGGCAGTGGCAGGGTTGTAAATTGGTAGCTTCGGAAGCGAGCGGCCACTTCCGTCGCAATGGCGGCAGCTGCGCGGGCGGCGGCGGTGGCGGTGGTGGTGGTGGTGGTGGTGCTCGGCGTGGAGGTGGCGGCTGCGCTGAACACGGACGGGCTGGCGCTTCTTGCGCTCAAGTTCGCGGTGTCGGAGGATCCCAATGGCGCGCTCTCGACGTGGAGGGACGCCGACAACGACCCCTGCGGCTGGTCGGGCGTCACCTGCGTCGACGGCGGTGGCGGCAGGGTCGCCGGCGTGGAGCTCGCCAACTTCTCGCTCGCGGGCTACCTCCCATCCGAGCTGTCGCTGCTGTCCGAGCTGGTGACGCTGTCCCTGCCCTACAACCAGCTCGCCGGCCAGATCCCGGTCGCCATCACGGCGCTGCAGAAGCTCGCGGCGCTCGACCTCGCCCACAACCTCCTCTCTGGCCAGGTTCCGGCGGGGATTGGGCGGCTCGTGTCGCTGTCCCGCCTCGATTTGTCCTCCAACCAGCTCAACGGCTCGCTGCCGCCGGCGATCGCCGGGCTTCCTCGTCTCTCTGGGGTTCTCAACCTGAGCTACAACCATTTCACCGGCGGGATCCCGCCGGAGTTCGGCGGCATTCCGGTGGCGGTGAGCCTTGACCTCCGCGGGAACGACCTCGCCGGCGAGATCCCGCAGGTGGGGTCCCTCGTCAACCAGGGCCCGACCGCCTTCGACGACAACCCGAGGCTCTGCGGGTTTCCGCTCAAGGTGGAGTGCGCCGGTGAGAAGGAAGATCCAAGAATCCCCGAGGCGAATGGTGGCATGAACCCCGGCGCGGCGGCGGCGGTCGGGAGGCCACCGAGGCGCCGGTCGTCGCCGACGGTGCCCGTTCTTGCTGCCATTGTGGTGGTTGCCATCGTCGCCGGGGTGATCCTGCAGTGGCAGTGCCGGCGGCGGTGCGCGGCGGCGACGGCGAGGGACGAGGAGAAGGAGTCGGCGAAGGATAAGAGCGGGGCGGTGACGCTGGCCGGCAGCGAGGAGCGGCGCAGCGGCGGGGAGGAAGGGGAGGTGTTCGTGGCGGTGGACGACGGGTTCGGGATGGAGCTGGAGGAGCTGCTCCGCGCGTCCGCGTTCGTCGTCGGGAAGAGCCGCGGCGGCATCGTGTACCGCGTCGTCCCGGGCCACGGCCCCGCCGTCGCCGTCCGCCGCCTCAGCGAGCCCGACGACGGCGACGGCGGCTCCGACTCCGGGTGGCGCCGGCGCCGCGCGTTCGAGACCGAGGCCGCCGCCATCGGCCGCGCGCGCCACCCCAACGTCGCGCGCCTCCGCGCCTACTACTACGCGCCCGACGAGAAGCTTCTCATCTACGACTACCTCTCCAATGGCTCCCTCCACTCCGCTCTCCACGGTGACGCCACGAATCTGTTCTTGCCGATTCCTTCTTCTACTCCACTTGATCCGCAGCTAACGCGGTGTTTGTTTGTGTTTCAGGTGGCCCGACGGCGTCGCCGACGCCATTGCCGTGGTCGATGAGGCTGTCCATCGTGCAGGGCGCGGCGAGGGGGCTGGCATACCTGCACGAGTGCAGCCCACGCCGGTACGTGCACGGGTGCATCAAGTCATCCAAGATCCTGCTCGACGACGAGCTCCGCGCCCACGTCTCCGGCTTCGGCCTCGCCCGCCTCGTCGCCGGCGGCGCGCACAAGGCGGCGGCGGCGCAGTCGAAGAAGCTGGGCGGCGCGGCGTGCGCGCTGCGCGGCGGGGGCGGGGCGCTGGCGTACGTCGCGCCGGAGCTCCGCACGCCCGGCGGCGCGGCCGCCGCGGCGACGCAGAAGGGCGACGTGTTCGCGCTCGGCGTCGTGCTGCTGGAGGCGGTGACCGGGCGCGAGCCGACGGAGGGCGAGGGCGGGCTGGAGCTGGAGGCGTGGGTGCGCCGCGCCTTCAAGGAGGAGCGGCCGCTGTCGGAGGTGGTCGACCCGACGCTGCTCGGCGAGGTGCACGCCAAGAAGCAGGTGCTCGCCGTCTTCCATGTCGCCCTCGGCTGCACCGAGCCCGACGCCGAGCTGCGCCCCCGCATGCGCGCCGTCGCCGAGAGCCTCGACCGGATCAACGCCTAATCCGGCCATCTCTCCACCATCCTAATCGAGCTCAAAACACTACTCCTACAAGCTAAAGCCTGTGTCACTTGCAGTAACCACCATTAGCTTACAAGAACTTCAAATTCTGTAGATTATTACTGTTAATCGCCGCCAATGCGAGGTTTGAGATGGCAAAACGAAGCAAGAATCATCAGGATCATTCGCTGATCTGCTCCAGTAGGCAGTAGTAGTGGACACTCTTCTTTAGCTGCATCATCGGCTGCAAGTCTGCAACCTCTGCAGAAGTGTAATCGATTGATCCCTTCCAAACAATTGTATCTGCCGTTTTCTTTTTCTCCTCTTGTGTTTTTGGCATCATGGCATGTCCTGTTTATGCTTTTGTGGCTGAAAAAAAAATTCTCCGCTTTCTTGGGGTCACAAGCTTGGATTGGAGAACGGCGAGCACAATGTTGTCATCTTCAGCTTTGGCACAGTTGACCCTGAAAAGATGCGACAATGACACTGACGAGAGCGTTGCATCCATTTAGCCAGGTTGTTGTGTCTTTTCGCCTGTGCATCTGTGCATGCATAACAGGCAGCAGCACGCAAGGGCTAGGGATAGATTGACAGCAGTTTAGTCCCAAATCCGGCTAGTACAGTCTTAATTTCCATGTTGATATGATGGCAGAAGCATACTGGAGTATACTACTAGTAGTACTACTTTTGTTAACAATGACAAGCTTAGGAGCCTTGTTGAAGAACAACCATTGGACTGCATCAGGTTGGATTTTTCTATCATTGGAGCCATCATATGCATACATCAGGAGGATCCAATGTTGAGCCCAATAATTGGAGACTTGGGGCAAATCAAGTTTTTAGCTTAGATCTTCACACTGTAATCATCTCAAAATTTTCAGGTACAGGTGACTACTAACAGAAACTTTCGTTCAAAAAAAAAACTAACAGAAATTTCCAACTTAATAATTCCAGATTCCAGAAACTGAAATGCCCATTTCTGGTCCATTTGCCAATTAAGCAGCCACGCATAGAGAAACAAGAGAGTTCGTTACCCCCGCAAAAAAAAAAAAAAGGAGAGTTCGTTACTATTGCACAGCAGGAAGATGGAAACAATATTGTACAAATACAACGCTACGCCGTTCTTTTAAGTTAAGACCAACAACAACCATAACATTTCCAGATAAGAGTGACAAATTGCTGATGAACAAGGCATTTATAGTCCTCGAGAGTCCAGGCCAAGCAGACACCCCAACAAAACAATTCACAGTTGAGATGGGGTCTATTTCAGTTGGCTCGTGAGCACTGAGCAGACAGAAGTTTTAAATAGCAGTGAAGTTCTTCACCAACCCTCGTCACCAGATTTAACAGAAATGAAACAACTATGCATATGCATGCAAATGGACAAACTAATTGTTTCAGTACAAGTGCACAGCTCAGTGTGGGACAAGTCAGAAGAGGCTCCATCTTACTATCATACTCCTAGATAATTACCTTCTGACTGCAACCAGTATATATGAAACTAATGAAAATGATTCTTTGACCACAACATCAGGGATTCAGGGGTCCAGTTCACATTTTGAAATACAACATGTAAATAATACCTCGACAATGAACAGGTTGAATTTGCAAGGGAATCCCATGATATCGTCCTGCTCCAAATGAAATGTTCGCAAGTAAAAATCACATGGTAGGATCTGAGGCATTCAATTCAGAAGCAACAGTGTGTCAACTCTTACGAGTGTACCATGAAAAATTCAAGTAGGTGTTCTCATGCATAAATGTCCTCGGCAGGGAATAGTCCTTGCGCTTCTTCCGGGAGCTCCGGCTGATAATGGAGCTGTTCATAGTTGAGTTGTCTAGCTGCCTCGTACAGTGCTACTCCGACGCTAACAGAAAGATTTAGGCACCGGACATAGGTTTCCACCATTGGAATTCGTATAGTTCCACCACCTAGGCCTTCTCTAGAGCAGTCCTCAAGGGCAGATTGTGGTAAACCTTTCGTCTCAGAGCCAAATACTAACCAATCCCCAGGCTTATATGAGAAATCCTAAACCAATATGTGAACAACAGTCAAACAATCGTCATAATTAATTGAAGAATCTGCCTCACATATCAGTATATCATTTTGAATTGTACATGTCTGTGGCAGCTAGATATTCAAGTCAATTTGTCTGTATAGAAATGTCCATTTGTGCGATCGATCATTAAAGAAAACCAAAGCAAATATAACAGACTAACAGTTGATGATGTATCCATTAGCTACAATTCATTACTAAAAAAAGACAATGGTTATTTAACTTATTTAAGTGTTTAGATAAGATTTGATAAAATGCATATAAATTCCTGACGATTCACAGAGAGATAAAAGATCAATGTAATTTACTCACTGAATGAATGCTCGTGCCTCTTTTGGTAAATGCCAGTAACCGTTTTTCTCCATCCTGATGTAGAGAAAAACACAGGTTCAAAATTCATACATATTCGATAACTACATTGATGCAACCTTAGAAGAGAACATCTGATCTAACATACCTGCTTCATGAAATAATCTCGGAACTCGTTCCAGGAGTCATGAATCTTGACAACAACATATCTTAATAGGTACAGTCAAGGTTGAGATTTGCTAATTGCTATCACTCAAACTAAAAGGTCAAAATAGATACATGAAAATATCATTAGGATCTGGATTTCCAGCATGAGTGCTTTAGAAAGCATATAAAGTATCATTATTTAAGTGGAACGTATAAAACGGTAGGATACGGCCAGTAATCCAATCCAGCACGCTTCAGCTTCGTGTCATCTACCTTAAAACCTAATGGCTGGAAACGTTGCAGCAAACAAAATTTTCAGATCACACATAGTACCCGATGAATAACAGAACAAGTAAAAGGAAGAGAAACCATTCAATGTTCTATCAATAAGCACTAACCTTACCCCGACAAGATGCAGCCCAACTGCTGACGCAGCACATGTCCTCGCAATCGATCCAGTGTTTCCCGGGATCTATTGAAGTACAGTTATAATTCAGTGACAACCAGCGACTCCTTTTAAGTCTCCTATCTATTCTCCACATGCAGAACAGAAAATTCAGGTAGGATGCTTTAAACACACTCGTCCAAATCACTTTCACAGAGCCATACTACATCAGTAAGGTGGTGTTTGGATCCAGGGACTTAACTTTAGTCCCTATATTTAGACACTAATTTAGAGTATTAAATATAGACTACTTACAAAACTAATTCCATAAATGAAAGCTAATTTGCGAGATAATTTTTTAAGCCTAATTAATCCATAATTAGAGAATGTTTACTGTAGCATCGCATAGGCTAATCATGGATTAATTAGGCTCAATAGATTCGTCTCGTGAATTAGTCCAAGATTATGAATGGGTTTTATTAATAGTCTACGTTTAATATTTATAATTTGTGTCCAAACATTCGATGTGATAGTGACTTAAAAGTTTTAGTCCCATCTAAACAGGGTCTAAATCACCAGACCAAACCGCACACTGACACAACAGTGATAGTCCTAACTCCTAAACCAAATCTTCTCCCTCCGTTTGAACAAAGTAATGATGATTAATGACAATAGTACAGGCAACAGCTGCATTTCATCGAACACTGAGTATACAAGGAGTTGCAAACCGAGCGGTAAAACTTACCAGAGGGGAGACCAGCACCACGTGAAGCATCCTCTTGGCGCGCGCGACCTCGGCGCCGCTCCCGACGGGTCCAACGGCGGCGGCGGCTCCGTTGCCGGTCGTAGCAACTGCAAACACAAACACGAGAGGAGGAAACGTGAGACGGGAGGAACGGCGGGGGCGTACGGGTCGGTTCAGCCACGCACGGGAGCAGAAGGCGCCCGCGAGGCGCGGGCGGCGGGGGTGGAGCCGGCCGCCGCCGCCGCCATGCGCGGCGGGGAACGCTCCCCGGTTGCCGCGGCACAGGCCGAGGGCGCGCAGCCGTAAGCCGGCGGCCTCCATTCTCGCCCGCTGCGACGGCGGCGGCTGCGGTCTCCTCCGGGATAAGGTCCAACTGTCCAATGTCCAAAGGCTCCAAGAGGAGGGCTGCGGATGTTATAGTGGGCCAAATGGTTCGAAGTTTTCGTGGGCTTGTTGAAAATCTTTTGGGCCTATATTTTCGGATGGTTTATGGGCCTTAGTTTCCTTTTATTCTTGTTTATTGGAAAAGGTATACTTTGACTCCCTCAACTATCGTCTGAGTATGATCCATATCCTCCAACCACAAAACCTATATCGACTCCTCCAACTATCAAAACCGGTGCAAACAATATCCCTAGGTGGTTTTGGAGGCTGTTTTGGCTAATGTGACGCCTACGTAGCGGTTTTGACCGAGTCTTTGTCCTACGTGACGTTTACGTGGCATTAGAATAAAAATAAATTTAAAAAATACGTGGGACCATATGTCATTTGCACACAAAAATGGTATTGTGGAACCCACATGTCATCCTCCCTCTCCTTCCCTTCTTCCTCCCCTCTCTCTCCCTTACCTCTCTCTTTCCCCCCGACCTCTCTCTTCACCAGAGCGGCGGCGGCGGTCGGGAGCGGCGGCAGTGGCGATGGGGAGGTTGGGTTCTTGATTGGTGTCAGATTCTTGGTTGGTTGATGGGGTTTGTGAGGTGTGGCGCTGAGTTGGAAAGATCCGATATATACACCGGCGCGAACGGGTCGGGTCTCGCCGCCGCCGCCGCGAGGGGGGAGATGGATCGGGACGACGAGTGGCTGCGCCGCGCGCTGGCGGCATTTGGAGGAGGAGGCGGCGGCGTGTGGGAGCTCGTGGATGCCGCGCTGGCCTGTGCTGTGCACGACCGCCCCGACGAGCTTATACGACGGTATCGTGGAGCGGCTCTACGCCGCCGCTGGCGGCGGCTGCAGCAACTGAGGTTTTTTTTTAATTTTCTTTCACCACCTCACCGACGAATTCGCTCAAAGAAACGACAGAAATTTGACACGAGCTGCACGTTTTTTCGTTTGTTTCCTCACAGTCGGAGGACGAGCTGCTGAGCTTGCTCTGCTGTTCTGTTCCCCTTGCAACAAAAGGGGAGGAGATGAAGTTGAAGTTCCTGCTTTGTGCTTTTCCAGGAGACGGACATCGGACGGCATGTGAACGGCCTGCGCAAACATCCCTCCGGTGAAGTCCAGCTACTCGCCATCTCATCCTCGTCTTCCTCCTCGGCCTCGCCATGGACCGGCTCCTCGGCGGCTGCGACGGCGGCATCGTGGCGCGAGTTCGGATCTGGCTCCGCGACGGGGAGCACCACGGTGGTCACCGTTGCCGGCTCGACGGGCATCTCGGCCACCGGCTGCTTCTCGTTGCCATGGAATCCCTCCCCACGGAGGTAGATGCCGCCGAACCTGTACGCGTCCCGCCGGTGGAGGCCGCCGCCGGGGCGCCGCGCCAAACCGCCACCGCCGCTCCTCCGGTGAAGAGAAAAGCCGAGGGGAGAGAGAGAGATAAGGGAGACTGTGAGAGAGGGGGAGGAAGAAGGGAAGCAGAGGGAGGATGGCACGTGGGTCCTACAATTTATATTTTTTTTAATGATATACGGGTCCTATGTATTTTTTTTAAATTTGTTTTTATTCTAATACCACGTAAGCGCCACGTAGTACAAAGACTCGATCAAGACTGCCACGTAGGCGCCACGTCAGCCAAAACCACCTCCAAAATCACCTAGGGACATTGTTTTACACCGGTTTTAATAGTTGGAGGAGTCGATATATCCGGTTTTGTGGTTGGAGGATATGAATCATACTCGGGCGATAGTTGAGGGAGTCAAAGTATACTTTTTCCTTGTTTATTTGACTCGTTTTGGACTGGACCGGAATGCACCTTTTGTGGTCTGGCTTCTAGTCCAGTTTGTGCTAGTCTCTGTTTTATTTTTAACAGGGAAAGAGAGCTTTATTGAGTAGGTAACAATATTACAATCTTTTGTTGCACAATCTGCTGAACATAAGACAGAGCTTGATCACGCCAAACAGCGTAATGAGCCACCTGTTTCACAAATTAAGCAAGCTCATGAGCAGCCCTATAACACTATCTTATAGTATGGTGCACTGGCACCTTCCGAAGACAACCCATTGCAATTTGCAACCTTGATATCTCGAAGAAAGGAAGGACTACCGAGATCTTTCTTTTTTTGTGCATGCGATTCTTGCGACTGTCTTCGCACAATCAGTTTCCAGCTCCGTTGGCATTCTAATCCATTCTACTATGAATTTTATTCAATGCCGGATCCAAAAAACTGGTTCGTTGGTGTCATAGTATGCTTTATACTTAGACCGTAGTATTGTAATATATGGACAAACAGTTTAACCATATGTTTTATTGAAAGTCATCAGTGTCGCTTAACACTGTCATTTGCAATGTAGATCCGCCCCTGATTTTATTTACAAGTTCACAACATGCCAACAATTCCGCCTCTTCTGGTTTAGCACAACGTCTGAAGAATCGCCATGAGGTAGGAAGAACTTTCCCCATATTGTCGAGTCTTATGATGAAGTATGGTTAGGGTGAGAAAAAAAACTCAAAACTCAGTGAAACGTATTGGCTCATATAAGCTCGTATTTGGATCAACTTAAACTGGGTTTAGTGGAACTTTATGAATATGTCATTTACTAAAACCCCTATAGTTTTTGTAACTCAGACCATAATATCTAGGGTTGAATAAAATTTACTTATGGTTTTCTTCTTCAAAGGTTGAAAGGGCGAATGACCAGTTTCGCACGGTCATCCACACTAGAAGCCACATGGCTCACAAAACATCTTATGCATCGGATGAAATAAAAATTCACAACTTAATCTGATGGATTCTTCCCGGGTAGAATCCCTTTTTCAAAATTCTGGTGGCTCTCGTCGGAGAAGATAAACAAGAGCTCATCAATTCATCATGCATCGTTATCAAACATTCGGAGCAAGATCCATGCCGTTTAAATATTGCACGTACAGTGGGATCATTGCAAAGCCCAAGGCTGTGTATGCTGGGCCAGCCTAGGGAAACCATGAGAAAAGACTGGGCATCCTGCTGCTTGCACATGCCCAAGTACCTGTGACTTCTCTCAAGAATTTTTTTATTTTTAATTTTTTTATTAAAAGTTTTACAAAAATAATTTTTCATTTTGAAAATTGACAGAAGTAGTCGCCCGCCGCCCTCTGGGAGGGCGAGAGGGCGGCGAATATAACGTGGCAGACGACCGTTCGCTCTCGGGCGACGGCCGTCAACGAAATTTGCAGGCGGCCCCCTTGCCGCCCACCGCTAGGTCGATTTTACACTGTGCGGGGGGCCGCCTGCAAATAGGCGGCGGGGGGCCTAGAATTTTGCACGCGGCCCCCTTGCCGCCCTGGGGGAGGGCGATTTTATAATGTGCTTTATTTGAGAAATATTTTTTTTATAAATATCAATAGTTATCAAATCTTTTTATATTAAAAACTATACAAGATTAAAATCTCCAAGATTGGAAAAATACAATTTTATTATTTTTTAGGGCCTATTTGAATTGTTACCCTACAAATTTTTTGGTAGTGCCAAAATATAGGCAAGTTTTAGCACTACCAAATATTTGGTAAGGTAAAATTGCATTTGATTATATTTGGTTTGCTACCAAAATAGAACCAAAATGTAAAATTGTAGTGAAGAATGTTCTACATGATCCCAAATCTAGATTAGGTATTACCAATGAATAGGCTTCAATCCAAATCAAACATAAGTACTATTCAAATTACCAAAATATTGGTAGGGCATATTTTTGGTAGCAATCCAAATAGGCCCTTAGTCTTACGTATACAAAAATTCATCACCATAATTAAACATTGTAATGATAAGATAGATAAGAAGTGCCATCGATACACGGTACAAATTTGTCGATCCCGACGAATCTAGCCTGCGGTAACCTATCGGCCCCTTTTAGGTCGGTCAGAATGCATTGCATTCTCGTGGTCCTTCAATCGTTGATACTCTACTTGTGTTTCTGACTCTGTTATCTTCTGGCCATGATATGATGGAGTGACATTGTCGATCCATCGAGTAAATCCACACATCCTTGGATTGCCCTGAAAAAATAGTAATGTTATTCAGTTTGGGTAGAAATTTTGTGCAAATCATAGCGGATTTTGGAAACGATTAGACATACAACGAAATCGTTGTCTATATTGGGGCAGACAAAATATCTCCTTCCAAATGTTTGTTCAGCAAAGGATGTAGCCACCTAGCAGCGATCTCTGCACCCACACTTTGGACGCTCGGACCATTTAGGTAACCCTAATGGATTGTTCCTCCAGTCTAAGCTTGCAATTTCCACCCGACGTTCGTACTCCATCCAAGCATGAATGAACTGTATGGTCAGTTCAGGTTGCGTTATCGGCCCGCCACTGGAAGTAACTCTGACTGTGCCAATCCATTGTACGAATTGACATTTCCTTACATCCTCCTATGTACATCCATTTTGGGATAGTTAAGTTAATGATAGTACTGAGGAGTGATGAAAAGAATAGTTGTAATTACCACGAAATCATCGTCGACAATGTTTGGACACATGAAACACCTTTGTCCTCGAGTTTGGTGCCTTACGGACCTTATGACCTGACAACGGTCACCAAAACGACACTCCGGACGCTCACGCCACGTGGGGAGTCCTAGGGGATTTACCTGCCATTCTAAAGCCTCAGCAGCAATTCGACGTTCATGCTCATCCTTCCGCCTTAGGTAGTCCGATCTTGTTTCACTACGTGGGTATGCACGTGTTCCATCGTTTTGTGGGTTCTCCATGTCTACCCACTCGATGAAGTTGCACATTGGACGATATGTCTGCGTAAGATGTTAAAATTGTGTACGAAGAAGTTAGTTTTTTTATCCATTTGAACTTCGAATAGATGAATCATACCTGATCAAAGTTCGCGCATTGGAAGAATCTCCTGCCCCGAGTTTGTATCATGAGGGAAGACTTGAGTATGCATCCATCCCCACAATCGCACAAAGGACGGTCACACCATGGTGGAAACCAACCAGCAAAAGGATCACCTCCTCTGTAGCTAACACCTAGTCGTCAACGTACTGCTGTACACGTGGAGCCCAAAGTGCGCCTGCTAGCTGTCCCCGTCGAGTCAACCTATGAAGAGAGGTAAATTATATGGCTCAATGAAGTAATTAGCATAAAATTTTTGAAATGAACCATCCGAACTCACGAGTGGTCGGCAGGGAGGACGGTCGGCTGCACGTTGCCCGGAAACACCTGCCTCAGTCCGAATTGTCTCATCACACGCCGCGGGCAGGGAGGCTCGACGAAAATGTCAAACACCCTTGGCAGGATGGTGAGCCAGTAAGCCTGGTCGCGTGTGCACAAGGACGAAAGTCCTAGCGGTGCTCTCGCAGCGACGGCCTCTTCTGTGTACGGCTCCCAGATGACATCGCTCGGCTGGAGACGGTCAAACTCAAACACGAAGTCTAGGTAACCTCGTCTCACCTGGACGTGAGTGTAACGACGCTGCAATAAACATGATCGGAATTAGACATGTTATGTGATGATAAAAAAAGAAGACGACCGATAAACTTATAACGCAGCGAAGTTGCACTAACCCCACGTCGACACCAGTAAATCCCCATCGTGGGACCGTCCTCTGGCCACTGCGCGCTGCGACCAACCCCGTAGGGTGCGCTGTCCACCACTGGTCGACCTATGGCAAACCTCTCGGCTGCCCAAAGCTGAAGCAACATAGGGCAACCAGCGAAGATCGCTCCCGCGTCGGTCTTCGTGCACGCCTCATAGAGGGCACGGTACGTGGCTGCTAGCACGGCAGAACCCCAGCTCCACTGCGGCACGTCCTGTGGCTGAGCATCCGCGAACGTCAATCCACAGTGTGCCCGTGGGTGCTAGTGAACGTCATCCACCCGAACAACCACAACAGGTACGCCTCAAGGGAGCGTCGGACCGAGTAATCATCAGCGTCAGGGTGCAGAAGGTCCGCCTACAATTAAGAATGAAATGTTAGTACAAAACAATCTGTTGATCGCAAAATTAGCATGTATGATAATAACAAGTTATTTACTTATAGTGAACTGAAGCAACCAAGCCTTTCTAGGCCCGACGGTAGAGTACGGGGGAAGGGTGTCGGCCGGTCCTAGGTGTGGAAGGCGCATCACGTGCTCGAAGCGCGCGGTGATATCCTCCTTCCACCCAAAAACACCATCCACGGGACCAACTGGGGCTCCTGCTAGTGGTAGCCCGAGCAGGTACGACACGTCCTGCAGTGTCAGAGCCATCTCCCCACAGGGAAGGTGGAATGTGTGCGTCTCAGGTCTCCAGTGGTCTACCAGAGCGGCAAGGAGTGACCGGTTTGCATCCCACCGCTTCGCTGGGTCACGGTCGTCCGCCGCCGCCTCAACAAGCCTACAAAGTAATAGAAGGCCTGCCGCACGCAACCTTCATAGAGCAAACTTAAAACATAAGTACAAGACAAAGCAAAGTTGAGTTGAAATGTGAACATACGCGTACCAAGGAATGTGACGGGGGTCGACACGCAACCACTCGCGCGACGTGCGTGGACAGAAGGTGCCGAGCTGTGCACCCTCGACTGCTG